ATTAATCTTTTAGATTTGCATATGAAAGCCCGCGATGGTTGATCCAGAAGGAGAAAATTGATGATGCTCGTTTGGCGCTTGTTGGCATGGGTAGATGGGATAATAAAAATACCCCAGAACGCCTGCAAGAGTTAGATCTCTTTTTGGATAAAGAACGTGAACGTATGAAAGAGGTATGAAGTTAACTTTTTATTTCTGTTTAAAATTTAAAGCTTTTTTTTTCACCCATCGAAAACAAACTTAAAAACACAATTTTATCAATAAAAATTTTTAAAATTAGTAATTTATTTAATTTTAGGCAACTGGCAAGTCAAAAATTAATTACACATATTATCATCTATTCTCAAACAAAAATTTCGCTTCATATAGTATCCTTTTCGCTTATAGTTTGTGCGTTTTATCAGGATTTTGCTTTTTAAAACTTCATAGACAGAAATGTGTTATAAAAGATCTTATTTTATATAGAGAAGAGAAGAAAAAAATCAAACTACAATATTGCGCTTACTAAAAGTTGTAGATTTGTTAATTAATTTTCCTTTTATCATTTATAATCTTCTTAATCACCAATAATAATCTATTCAATAAGTAAATTTAACAATAATTGTCATATGAACAAACCATATTTATGTTGATAAATATGGCTTCATTTTTATGATTTGATTTTGTCACTTCTTCACCATTTAATACAATTCAAAAAATATAGAAGGTTATCCAGTGCAGTTCATTAAATATGAAAATGTTGCTAAATCTATTGACGCAAAAATGTCATGCTTAATTTCTAGGATGATTACAAGCATCATCTCATACGGGTTAGTCTTTAATATGGAAAAACTTTCGGGCTCCATTTATCTGAACACGATCATTGTTGGCTCATTGCGTTATGCAATTAATCTGATTTGCGCTTTCATCGATATCAAATTCGTTTGGGCTGGTCGATGTCTTTTACATGGATTTTCAATGTTTTTCATTGCATTTAGTCTTGGCTTAGTATTTCTGATCACTCTATTCGGTATGCCTATTTATTTTCTTGTTTATGATAATATTTTCATAATAAATGTGTCAATTATCTTGCATATTTATTAAAATATAATGTAAAAACTACAAAATCTTTTTAGATCAAATTTTATTTTCATTCTCAATTTTTGCTACAAATAATTTTCATTTTCAATTAATAAATATTTACTGTAACAAATTTTTTGTAATACAGATCATATACTATTTGCCAAGTGAAATTTCAGGTTTGGATTTGCAAATAATTACTCGTATTACGGCTTTATCAGCAGCAGCAATGTGTAGTCAAATTTATATTCTGAATGCGGTTACACCATCTGAACTCTTTCCAACAGCTATACGCAATAAGGAAATTGGCTTTATTCAAACATTTAATCGTATTGGCAATATTATTGCACCACAGATTTTTGTTATTGTACGCATAATTTTTGTTTTTAAATTTTAAATTCTGTAACCAAGAAAAAGCTAAAATGTTTTTTACTTTTTTCTAGAAAAAATTACAGTTTTGATTGTAGTAAATATGGTACGAAAATGATACAAAATAATAAGAAAGCTCAATTCTATTTACCTTGGAAAGGAAGAAAATTGTGATAAATTAATTAGATGATGTGATAATCACATTATTTTAGATTATTTATAACTAAAATAGCTGTACTGTAATTTCAGGGTGAACTATGGACTCCACTTCCGTATTTGACAATGTGTCTGTTTGCATTGCTTGAAGTAACTGCTTTTCTATGGATTGTTCCTGAAACGAAAGGAAAACCGATGCCTGACCGGATGCCTGGAGAAGAGGATGCTGCTGCTGCTTATGGAGTTGCTAAACCTTTAATTAAGATTGATAAGATCAACAATGAGCGTATGCCATTGAGTGAAATGAAAAAATGATAATGTTCCACATTTGATTTTATCTTATTCTGACTTTTTTTTCCAAAAAAAAAGAAAGAAATGACTTCATACTTATTTGTATTATTGTTCGAAATTTGTTAGTGTAGAAGAAAAAAAATCTGAGATTTTTTCATTTTATTGAAAGAGACAAATAAAAAGAGGAAAAAAAAGTATTTTTTTATATGAATATTCAACAGTAATTTCTTTTTTTTTGCTATCATTTTATCATTTATTACCTGACCGATATAGTTCCTCCATCTTCCCCGCCCCCGCTCCCCCTCCCTTCATAATTAATCCTAAATGATTTAGTCTTCAATCAATAATCTTTTCAATTCTATGAATCATTTGCTGATGGAATTGGCTTTTTGATGCTAAATAATTTTTTGCATACCATCCCAATTGCTATAATACATTGACCTTGCTGAATTATCATTTACATCAATTTATCAATTCAAACAAACAAAATGTTTATTCGGTATAATTTTTGAAATATTTTCTTATGCATTCGAAATTATCAGCTCTTCATGAATAATTTCGAACATATAAAACATATTAAATCTTCATTCATACGATTAAAAAATCTGAATCGTTATATTCGATTTTTTTTCTCTTCTAAATTATGCTTTCATTGTGGTAAACAAACTGTTGGGATGTATATGAAAATATACTTTTTTGCAGTTTTTTTTTTTTTTTTGAAAAATTTATCTCCATCTTTTTTGTCTATTATCCACTTATAGTCTCTCTTCATCTCCTTTATGTTATGAGAAAAACATAAGTTTAGCAAATTAAGAAAAAGTCTGTCTTCAATATTCTCTCTATTCCTTTACCCATGTTGTAGTTTTTCTAAGATTAAAAAAGAAAAAATAGAAAATCATTGATTTGTACAACCGCACAAACATGATATTCTTTTAAAATTTGTCAGTAAGTATTTTACTGATTACAGTATTTTTGCCTAATCACTTCTTTTTTTGCTCGATTATTTCGAACAGTAATTCTTCCCTTATGAAATTTATAACAAATCATATTAACAAAGAAAAAAAACTTTAAAAAAAAAACAGAAATTACAACTGCTTACATAAGCATAAATATTGAAGAATCTCTTGAAAATCATCTGATAATTCTTTTCTTATCATTTCTTAATTCAAAATCTGTATACACATTATAAATCATAAGTGATAAAAACTTTATAAATGATAAACTTAAATTTGCAACCCAGATTATTATTGAACAATTTGTTTAAAATTAACATGAAATGCTATTACATGGATTAACTCTATGTAATTTAATAATATTTGTTGTTTCGAATTATCTTTTAATAATTTTCAAATAATCATTTCTCAACATAAATGTTTACATAATGATCACTTATTATCATAATCTGATAATATCATTTATTAACTATGACTTAATTTACATAAAACTACGAAAAATTCATTATATTTGCATAAAGAAGAAGGCAGAGAAAAAGAAGATAAGTAAATGGATCGATTGCATAATTCTTCATTGTTTATATTTTTACTATTAAAACAACGAAAAACGATTATTAATTGTCGTATATATAGACTATATGTGTTTTCGTAGAATATGGCAACATTCGGTAAGCTTAATAAGAAGTAAAATTGTTGAAAAATTTTTGAAAATTATGAATTTAATATATTTTCATCCCTTGTTTACATCGATTTATTGTACAAATGAATTATAATTATCGATCATGTGGCTGAAAGATTTGACTGTTTCTGATAATAGTACATGCATTCTAAAATAACTAATAAGATTAAATTTTCCATACCGTTTTGCACTCTAACCCCTTTATAATTTTCTACTTTTTGAAGAAGAAAAGTTAAATGCGGTACAAAATTTTTTCTTTTTTTTTTATTTAGACCATCGACCAGTTTTAAATTTTGGAAAAATGAAAAGGTTTCATAAATTTGATATTAAAATAATTTAAATGGTAGAAATTTTTTTTAATTAGAAAATCTCCTTTTTTATGATAGTTTGCAGGGAACAATTGAAGGTCGGAAAAAGCATCGTGAAAAACGAAAAAAATATCAAAAAAATAAGAAAAAACATCAGAAAAAAGAGAGAAGGCATTCCAAGGGTAAGGAAAAAGGTAACAAAAATGTAGGGAAACAAATGTAAGTTATTTAAAAGTAAATTTTATAAATATTTTGTTTCATATGTAGTTTTATATTCGATAATTAAAAATCATCCAAAAACAACTGATTTTTATTAAAATTTATCAAGATTAAAGACAATGTCTGTTAAAATGGAAATTGAAAATCCTCCTTTATTGTTTGAAATATTTCATTGAAATATATCGTCTCAACTCTCTCTCTCTCTCTTTCTTTCTTTCTTTCTTTTTCATTTACTTATTTAT